TCCTCTTTATCGAGGAAGATTCATTCTCGTTTGGCATCTATGATTTCGGCTGTTTTTTTTGTTTTTTTTTGCAGAAAGTTGTATATATATTTTGTTTTTTTTTTTTTTTTTTTCTGTGATGTACTACCAGTTGTCCGAGGCTCGGCAATAAAGTCCGAGGCTCGGGAATGATCGGGCTGCCGGTAGTCCGAGCCTCAAACTTGATAGCTGCCTCCCACTCAGCTGTTAATGCACTGCGGTATTCGGGGCTCGATCTGCTGGACCGAAATGGCCGGCAGTGCCAGGCAAAAAAAAAAACAGAAAAGTGCATGCACTGATTCGCCTTTTATTGGCGCACAAGCAGGGGTAGTCATGCCGCCGACACCTGACACCGACGGGTCAGGGAGACCCGTTGGCTGTCTGCCTATCAGTTGGCAGTTGGCATTATGCTGGTTTTTTTTTTTTTTTTTTTTTTTTTTTTTTTTTTTTTTTTTTTTTTTTTTCGCTGAATTCAACCTGGGCGGTGTTCTGTGTTTGCCGAGAACAGCCTGAATCCGTGATAAAATTAACTTTGAGGTTGGGTTCTTTTGTAGGTGGCAGGAGGGGGTCGAAAGCTTAACAGACAACCGCAGCTTGAGACAGGGGATGTCTCTTGTCGATCGGGCTGTATGAAACAGTAGGGGATACAAAGGCGATCCTATTCACTGTTCAGATCTTGATTCTATAATTTTTTGGACATTACAAAGGAAAAAAGTAATCACCTCCGGTTTTGGCGTACGCTTGATTGGAAAACTAAATAAGATGATTAGCTCCGGAACAGGTGCTCTCTCTTGTTGATCGGGCTGCATAAGGTGGTAGGGGGTGCAATCGTGACCATTTTCACCCTTCAGATCTCGATTCTATGCGTTTTTTGAAGAAAAGTTTAAGTGATGTCGTAAACAATGGGCCGGAAACTATATCAACAGCAACTCAACCAGTACTCATGTGAATTAGGCAGTTGAGGGCTCAATAGGAGCGGAATGCCAAGGCCTTCAAGGCTACTTTGAAAACGCTGAAGTGCACAAGTAGGGGGAGGAGAAGAAGAAGAAGGCTAAGAAGGAAAAAAAAACTTTGGCTTATGCAGGGGGCGACGACACCCCGACTGGTGCCAACTGACGGATTGTCGGTTGGCTGGTCAGCCCCCGACGGGTCAAGGAGTGCTGACGGTCGGCATGACTTTTTTTTTCCGAAAGAAACCTGTTGATGCAGCTAGAAGTGGTGATAAGAGCATTCAATCCTAGCTGCACAGCTAGTGACTGCATCTATTGGCAAGGAGTACCATGTGGGCAGGACTACATCGCACAGAAGGGGAAATCCAAAATCCACATTGGGAGAAACAGGCTCGGTGGTACGGGTGGTTTAACCTATTTATCCATCAATTTTCGCTATGTGCCATCTGGTTACTGTGTAGGTGTGTGTCCTCCAGTTTTTTTCGTAGGCCATACTCACACTAGGCTCTTAAAATCGCAAAATCGCAAAATGAGTGGCCGGTTTTTTTCTTAGGGCATACCCACACTAGGCCCTCAAAAGCGCAAAATCACAAAATGAGTGGCCAGATTGAGTCCTTGTGAAGGAAGGACTGCATCTGGCAGCTCATTTTGTGATTTTGTGATTTTGTGATTTTGAGGGCCTAGTGTGAGTATACTCTTAGAATGTACAATCTGACCATTGGCCAGATGGCTCAACAGGTATTTTCCGATGAGTATATATTGTAATGTCCTGAGGCTCCTGTTTTGCTGATCTGTTGAAGGATGCTCTTTTTCATATGGAGTGACCAGGGAAGGACGTACTAAGGGAGGCTGCTCATATCAACCCCCCCCCCCCCCCCCTTGGCAGGCCCGGCCCGGTCTTAAAACAAACAAACAAACAAACGAAAGACCAGACCCTGCCTTAAAAAAAAAAGAAAAAAAAAAGCATGTGCAATGTGCATAAAGGACCTCCAAAGAGACAAACCTGATAGTGGCGTTCTTGCTATGGCTGTGCAGGTTGGGATGGAAAAGGCTTGTAGAAAAAACAATGCAGGGAGGGTCTGAGGTGCAGATGTGAGTGCTTTTGCTTCCCGGTGAGAGCGGCATTGACACAATTGGGTGAGTCTTACAGAAAACCTCTCTTCCCTCTTTCCTCTTCCTGCTGAGTTCTCATCTGTGTTTGTTTGCATGGGTGTGGGTGTGGGTGTGGGTGTGGGTGTGGCTGAAACACACATTTTAAAAAAAATATATAATACAGGGCTGGTCCCCGGTTTGAACCGGGGGCCACTCCCCCAATCGGGAGCCTGCCGGTCGGACCGGCCGGTCGACCGGGCTGGCAGACTCCCGGTTGAGTCCATCGCATTGCACTTGGGGGGGGTACTAGGAAGTCACAGGCATCCCTGCGATTGTCCAGCCCCAAGGAGGCCCCTGCCTCTGTGAAAAAAAAAATCGGGGTATCCTGGACCTCATTTCTTAAGAAAAATGGGCGGAGGATATCCACCGCTGAGCTTTGCAGATCAACAGCGGAGAACTGCCATACATTTTTCTTAAGATGTGTGTGGGTCAGGTAGGCCCCTTCTCCAATTTGTCCTCTTGCGGTCCAAAGGACCACTTACCATTGGCAGCATCTGATGCTCGTTCACCCTCAGCCACGAGGTGAACACTATGCTCGTGATGAGGCTCTGCTGAGATTATATCCGCGTGCCACGTCCCTGCCATTGGTGGAAAAAGTTATGGGTTCGGATTTCAGAATCTTGATGTCAGAGCCGTCCGAGGTGCAATCCCAATAATGGACCTAAGCTATATTCTTCTCTCTATCTATCTGGAATGGACCTTGCTCCACTACATGTATCTGGACAGACTGCCAGGCAAGATACTTCCATACTGATAACTCACCTTATGTAGAAAAGAACAAACAGAAAACGCTGTCCCCACGAGCTGAAAGCTGGACCCGTTACTCTTCTGCTGTCGAGCTACACTCTGGAAGAGCTATAAGTTCTGGCAAGGACCTCCTTTCATCATATGTGGTTTAACTTGTGGGGTATCATTATCACTTGACCTACTCCACGAAATGCTCCAGCCACGGGGGAGTCAGATAAGTGAACTTGCTTACTCGACCCCTCCCTGTGGAAGCCATAGTTGCCTGAATATGTCAATAATAACCCCCTGCCCCCCTCTGGAAGCCCCCTGAAAAATATTGCACCTTCAAAATTTTATTGTGGATTCCGACAGCTCTCGAAGAGCGCAGTCGGAATCTGCCAAAAAAAAAAAAAAAAAAAAAGGATAGGTGGGCACTTTTTTTTCAAAACTGGTTTCCCTGTTCAACCCCCCTGGGCTGGTCCGGCTCCGGTTGGACCGGGGTAACTCAACCGGCCGGTTGCCGGCCCACCATTGATATAATAATTATTTCCTATTAATTTAGTTTAATGCAATGAACCTTGTAAAATTCAACTAAAAAATACAACTGCAAGGAAGATGAGCAATAGCGAATTTCAGCAATCGAACAGCATCATACACATGAGACCAGATAGTCGTGACCTCAAACCAAAAGCAGAATTGCATCACGAGTTTCACCAAATAAGAGCACACCAAAAGCTCAAAATTGACAATCCTGGAATAGTCTCATCATCATCATCAACGAAGAGCCAATGTTGCTATCTTATCTGGCGCTCGGCGCCCAGACTACAGATGGCAGGTCCTATCTAGCCTACTCTACAATGCCGCTGATGACGTCAACAGCTCCCCGAAGTACGAGCAGATCTCGGCCAATGCCGCACGCTTCAAGCACCAGGTATGTCTCTCGTATCACTCACAACCTCGTTCCCCAACTCACAGATGGCACTTGCACCCAAGGACCACCATGCGCCCCATCCAGCATACAGCAGCGCAGCTCGGCTAAGGCTGCCTGCTCCTTCCAGCTTGCCCGTGAGCGCGTGAGCCTGGCAGGCGATAGCGCGCTTCGCTGCTCCTTCCAGCTCGCCCGTGAGCGCGTGAGCCTGGCAGGCGATAGTGCAGCAGCGCTTGCGCACAAAGCAGCCAGTGCCCGAATGTCCAATGTGAGGGCAGGCCCTTCTCTATATCGAAGTGGCCTGCTGCCGCGTGCTGTGCTGCGGTACTGGGCCCCGGCCCAGAAGCTTCCGGTAGGCCCAGGGAGGCTGAGCCTCAGACCGAAGGAAACAGGCCCAGGGCCTGAGGCGGTTACCAGCACCCAACTGCCCTCAGCCTTTGTTCGGTCCACTTTGTGTATCCGGCCCAGGCCTTGCCTTAGTTACATGCAATGAAAGGCAGCCTGGGCCTCGATGCTTCCAACCGACTGGCGCTGCGCAACTGCCTGAATTTCCCCAGTTGCGTGGTAGTCAAAATACCTCTTGGGGTCTGTCGAGCCTGCCTTCACTTAGGGCGGCCAACACTGTTGCAAATAAGGGCCCAGTAGGGCTTATTGAGGCCTTGTGCCTCGCATTCCCTCCTCCATACTTCGCTAGTCCTCTGAGAAGTTCAGTCTTCGATAATCTGGCGCTTTCCCTTCTGCAGAGACACTTCATAGTGAGCGACTACCTGTGGAGAGGTCTGCATCAGTTCCTCTCTTGTGAACCATCTATCCTCCTTTGGATCAGTGTGGTGTCTGAACCGAACTCGATACTGTAGCTTTGGTTTCGGAGGACGTTCTCTGTCTGTTGGTCTTGGAACTGGCATCTCCCTGTGATCAACAATGTCGTCGATGTCGACCTCTCCATCCATGGTTGGGGCCAACATTGAGCGACGAGAGGGAAACTGATCTGTTTCTTTGGAAGGTGCAAGCTTTGAGGCGTGGAAAACAGGGTAAGTGCGTAAGTGACCAGGGATACGAATAACATAAGATGGTCCATCTGGTTCATTCCCCACAACATCTAGAATCTCCCAGGGTCCAAAGTACTGTGGCATGAGCTTACGGGGAATCTCATACTCCTGTCCCAGTTCTGAGGACTTAACCCAGACTCTTTCTCCTACCTGGAATGTAGATGGGCGGCGGTGTTTGTTCCCAGATTCTATCATCGCCGCCTATGATTTGTGCATCTGTTCGACTGCCTTTTGCATCAGTTGCTCATATCGATAAACAAACGCCAAGGTCCCTGGTGCAGCAGCTGACTGATTCGCAGGTAGTAGGAAGTCCAAGGGAAGTCTAGGCTTGAAAGTCAGTAGCAGGCTGTTCGGGCTTACTCCCGTAGCGCTGTGCACAGTGTTGTTGTACAGGCTGGCGATGAGAGCGAGTTTCTCATCCCAGTCTACCTGATTCGGCTTGATGTAATGCCTCAGCAGGTGTTGCACAACGCGGTTCAATTGCTCTGCCTGCCCATTTGCTTCTGGGTGATTGCCTGATGTCATTTGCAATTGCGTGCCCTGTGCCGCAGCTGCAGCTTTCCACAGTTCACTAGTGAATCGCACATCCCGGTCACTAATGATAGACTTAGGCAGTCCGAAATCTCTGGCCCAGTTTTCTTTGAACAACTTAATGATGTACTCGGTGTTTGCTGTTTCCGGCATTGCAACTAATCTAGCATACTTACTAAACCTATCCACAATGACAACGATGTGTCGCATTCGACTCTTGCAGGTGATCAGTGTGTCCATGAAATCCATGGATAAGCTCTCACCAGGCCTTTCTGGAATCGGAAGGGGCTTGAGGAGCCCAAGAGGGGGCTGGTGATCAGTGTGTCCATGAAATCCATGGATAAGCTCTCACCAGGCCTTTCCGAAATCGGAAGGGGCTTGAGGAGCCCAAGAGGGGGCTGTGTACGGGGCTTGTCTCTCTAACAGACCTGACAAGTCTCCACGTACAGCTTGGCATCGCAAAGACTCCCTATCTGGCACACACAGACGTTTATTCCCTGCCTTCTCAAGGAACAACAGTCCGTTGACCAACTCAAACTCGGCAGAAGTCGCTTTGTCCTTCGCCTCGAGTCTGCGTATGATCTCAGACATAAACCGGTCCTCGCGATAGGCTTCCACCATAGAGTGAGTAACATCGTCCGCAAGCCCAAACTCAGTGATCAGCGCACCAGAGAAATCTGGTCTACGCGACAGCGCATCAGCAACCTTGTTGTACTCGCCCTTGATGTACTGGGGCTCGAAGTCATACTGCTCAATGACTTCAATCCAACGCTTCAGAGCGTCGGAGAGCACACGCTGGGTTCTCATCCACTTCAGGGTCTGGTGATCAGTTCTGACGTAGAAGAACCTACCAAGGAGATAGTGTCTCCAATGGGTGAGCGCCTTGTAGATCGCATAGAGTTCCTTCTCATAGGTGGACTTAGCCAACTTCTGACTACCGGCCTCAACTTCTTCCCCTCCTGCTGCGTAAGTACGGCGCCTATGCCATATTGGCTAGCATTCGTAGTTACTACAAAAGGTTTGTCAAGGTCAAGAAGTTTCAAGACCTCATGGTGTGTCAGGAGCATTGCAAAGGCCGAAAGGCATCACCACAAACTCGTACAGACCGTACCTGGCCTGAAATGCGGTTTTGTGTTGATCCTCGGGCTGGATTGCAATCTGATGGTACCCGGACTTCAGATCTATCTTACTGAAGTACCGACACCCTTGCACTCTATCTAGCAAATCGTCGTTGTGCAGTAGGGGCTCTCTGTTCTTGACAGTGATGGCATTGATGGCCCTATAGTCAATGCACATCCTAAGTGTTCCTTCCTTCTTCGGTACAAATAGGACTGGAGACCCATAAGGAGAAACACTCGGCCGGATCCAACCCTTTTCTACGAGTTTCTTGAGTTGCCTGCGAAGCTTAGACATCCGATAAATCCTACCCTTTGGAATGCTAGACCGTGGGATAATCTCTATCACGTGGACGACCTCCCTCTCAACAACCCCTGTAGGCTCTTCAAATAGATCAGGGTACTTGGCAACTACTCCCTCTATCTCCGGTGGCATTTTCACCGGCTCACCTGCTGCAGAGACATAAACGAGATACAAACCCTCCTCCGAATTTTGCTTATTATAATTATAGAACGCGGCTGCACACATGCATCTGTGGGACTCGATCAGACTACTAGCTTTGAACTTATGTAATTCGGCGGTCCCTCCACCTGGCAAAGTGTGTTTGACCACTTTTTGGTCCCAGTCAAACTGGG